ATAAGCGAAATAAACTCTCCTTTCTTTTTATACATATTTAAGTCAAGGAAAAAAGGCTGACAGTTTGAATTCTCTAAATGAATGGATATCTGCATAAATTGTAGAGGCTTAACCATTAAAACATACTTTTCAAAGCAAACGCTTTATAAGTCTACTTTTTTTCTGATGATACCTCTGAGAATTTCTAGGACGGAAGCGAAAGTTAAATAAAAACAATTTAACTAGATCTTTGAGAAATTCTTGGGATTTGAGCCAACGTATAACTTTCATTTTCGTCTTTTCTATTTGCTTCAGCCATTTCTTTTCGTTAAGAATGTAAATTTTTACGTTTTCTCTCAAAGCGCTGTCATTGAAATCGTAGATACTTAAGATAACTAGGAAGGCGAAAGGTTTTGTTGCTTATTATTCTTCATAAAATCTTCTAGTTTCAAGAATTTAGAATATTTGATGATCTTATTTTTTTCTATTTTTGTTCCGCATTGCTGGTAATTATTCCGTAAGAACGTTTCCAATGTACTAACTTAATGAATAGTAATTTGGCGCGGAAGTACGACTTCCAAAATCTAAGACTTTTTTTATTCTTTACATTTAACAAAAATTCCAATGTATATTTTATTTTATTTTGTTAAAAGCCTTTTATACGTTTGCAGAAAAAAAAAAAAAAAAAAAAAAAATGACTAGCTACGTCTTTTTTTGTAAAAATCATATTTCATTTATTAGTAAGAAAATAATTTGCTTATGAAAAAAATAATACTTAGGCATTTTTACATAAATCTATATCAAAAGAAAAATGTTATAAATATAAATGTAGTTTTTCAGTTGTAAGCAAATATTAAAATATTTTTTTATTAATTTTATTTTCATCCCTCATCCATTAAAAATATCTTACAATTACATTGTTTTTATTAACTTCGCACTTCTACTGTGTTTTTAAACTAAATAATTTTTAAGCATGTTAATGAGAAATGCTACGATATTCCGCTTTAATCTATAAAAATACAAGTATCTAATAAGTGATTAAAATATATCATTTAATAGAATATTCGTCATATATATATATATATATATATATATATATATATATATATATATATATATATACATATATATATATATGACTTTAGTTTTAGTATATATATATATATATATATACTAAAACTGAAATATTTAGAAAAGCATACTAAATAACTATAGATTTAATGAAAAATAATTATAATTGTTGCATACGTGATGTATAAACATTGCATTTTAGGACGGTTCGGTCTTAATTTTGAAAAAGCGTAAAATTGGATAGTTTTTTTTCTTTTACTTAGGGTCAGTTGAATTAGAATGTACGCATAAAACTGTTTTAAAGATATTACTACAACAAATATTATTTGAAAATATTTTACTGCGCACAGAAGGAAGAAAAAGAACATTTTCAAAGCATGCATTTTTCATCTAAAATGCTTCTATGGTAATAATAGTCTGTCTATATATAGCTGACTTCTGCGCAGAGACTGAACTAGAATTTTTGTAACATAAGATTTGGAAGTCAAATTATTCGTATTTTAATATATCAAAACTCAGACGTTTAAACAAGACATATTCTTCAATTGATTGTAACTCGTAAATGTGAATTTTTTAAAAGTTATAATTAAAAAAAATATGTTTAATTATATACTCTTCTTAATAAAAAAATATCCAAAACTATATAATTCAGCGTTTCTCAAACTGTGGGAGACACCACCTACGGGAGCGTGATATATGGGGGCACGAGCATTTTGAAAAGTCAAAAATAAAATATTTAAATACTAAAATTTATTGAAAAGTAGCAAAACAAAATGTATGTTTACATAATAAAAATTAAATAAACATTTACATAATAAAAATTAAATAAACATTTACAATTATATAATATACTTTTAAATGTAACAGTATTGTGAAATATTTTTGATAATTAATTTATCAATACTAAATTTGAATTAAGCTTAATAATTATTAGTGTTTCCCATTGGCATAGAATGTAAGGCTTATCTTGATAATACGTATCGTTTATAATTAAAATCGTATTGTAACTTAGCTCCAAGAACAATTTTATTATATTCAATACACTGCTATTGTATTGTATTGCTATGAGGCAGGAGCGATGAAAATTGTGATTGAAAATCGGGTTGCAAATATTGAAATTTTCAGACGCACTGATTATAATTAAATAAATTAATTATACAGTTTATATACCATTTCACTCAAAACTACATTTTAAAAATCAAATTTTATTTATTAGTTTTACTTCATTTAAAGAAATAATTGTTATAATTGACCACAGGATCTCAAAGATGTTCCTACGGATCCAGATGGTCCTTAGGACTACTAAAGGGCAAAGTAAAATTAATTTGGGGGTGATTGGGCCACTTTAGAATGCTCGTGAAAGTTTTTACATGAAATAAAATATTTCTGTCTATTTTTTATAAAAACTCAAATCAATTAACCTTGTTCTTAAATGTTAAAAAATTCTAGCATAAAATATTGAAGGATACATAAATATATTAATGACAAGTTTCGCACGATGAAAGAAGGGTCGAAACGGCCGTCTATGAGGTCTAAGGTATCCGACTACGTTCGGAACCGTGATTTTAAAAAAGCGCGTAAATGAATAATTTCCGTGATGCTTAGTGTCACTTAGATTAGAATAACTGTATGAATTTGTTCTAAGGATATTAAGACAATAAAATTATTTTAATGCAATATTGTGGCAAAACATTAACTTAGAATAACCAATTTTCAAAAAACGTTCTTCTTTTATAAAAGATGTTTCTAAAATAATAATATTTTGCTTATATAAAGTAAAGCCTACGCGCCAGAGGGTCTGAACTAGGGTGTTTAAGAAAAGCACGTTATTTTCAGAGGTACTACCAATTGAAATAATTATCGGCGTTTTTTTTCTTAAAATCTCTCCTCTCTGCTGTACTAAAATATGGATAAATCCATTTCTAAGGTATTAGGTTGGGGAAAAAGAAATCCATTATTTTTTCGGTAGATGGCTGTAGTGTCGATATCTCGTGAAGTATTGATCAAACAATCTCAAATTTATGCTTGTTGTCAAGGTGACATTTCACACCAAAAAAACTATTTTGTTTTTATTTTTGTTTGGTCCATTCAGTTGTGAGTTACAAGGTGTTAAAAATGAAAGTCAACAAACAGAAAATTTCGTTCTTTTTAAAGTTTTTCTTTGATAAAGGTGAAAATGCAAGTCAGGTTACTAAAATTGCGAATGGTGTGTATGTTGCCGATACTGTAACAGCTAATTATGAGCAATTTTTGTTTCATCGATTCCGTTCTGTATTTTTGCTGTTAAAGATGCACCTCGCACAGGCAGGTCCGTCGTAGAAAATGTCGATAAAATCATAGAAATAATCGATTGATTGATTGATTGAATATTAACGTTGCACTGTTCAGATACACGAGGGCTTTTGGCGACGGACCACGTAATTTTGAACCATGGTCAAGTGACGTGGACGATACCTGAGCTGGCACCCCCTCTCCTACCTACCACACCACACCAACGGGAGGACGTTTCAGCTATGGACAGATTTAACGCGCATTGCTGCTCTACACGGCGGGTTTTTAGTGGCACTGGGTTCGAACTCGTGACAACGCAAGCCAAGGTCCGATACCTATACCACTCGACTACCGCGGACAACAGAAGTAATCGAACTTGACCGGCTTGTTAGTAGCCGTAGCATCGCCCAGTGGCTAAAAATCGACCACAAAATAGTTTTAAGCCATTTGCGCAGTTAAATTCAAAAAGAATCTCAATGTTTGGGTGCCACACCAATTGAATCAAAAAACATGATGGATCGAATTCCCATCTGTGAAGCCATGGCCAAACGGAAAGAGATCGACCCATTTCTTAAACGGATGCTGACTGGGGATGAGAAATGGATCCAATACTACAATTTTGTGCGAAAACGATCATGGTTAAAGGGCGATGAAGCAGCTCAAACGGTGACAAAACCAAGACGAATGACCAGGAAGGTTCTACTGTGTATTTCGTGGAAATGGAAATGAATCATTTATTAGAAAATGCTTCCGTATGGTCAAACACTAAATTCAGATCTCTAATGTCAACAACTGGACCGTTTGAAGCCGGTGATTGACCAGAAATGGCAAGAATTGGCCAACAGAATAGGTGTTGTGTTCCATCAACGCCAGTCCACACACTTCTGTAGCGACTCGCCAGAATCTCTGGGAGCTTGGTTGGGAAGTTTAAATACATCCACCATATTGTCCGGACCTGGCACCAAGCCATTACCACTTTTTTATCATATTTCAAAACTTTCTGAGTGATAAGAAATTGGGATTAAGAGAAGATTGTGAAAATCGATTACTAGATGTTTTATCCGATAAGGGCCAAGACTTCTATGAGAGAGGCATTACGAAGCTACCTTTAAAATAGCAACAAATTATACGACAAAACGGTGCATATTTAACTCAAATCGGACAATCGGAAGCATGTTAAATAGTGTCTTGATTTTCATACAAAAATAATGGATTTCCCCAGCCTAATATATGTTTCAAAAATCCTAGTTAAGGCTCTGTACAGAGGTCTGAGCTATATACAGGTAAAATATTATTAATATAGAAGTGTTCATAAAGGAGAACATTTTGAAAATGTGTCATTCTATGTTCCTTTTTTTTGTCAAAATATTGTATTTAAATATTTTTTTTATTGTAATAATATTCTTAAAGCATTTTTATACGCGTATTCTAATCTAAGTGACACTAAATATTCTAAATATTATCCATTTATACACTTTTGCAAAGCCACGGTTCCGAATGTGGTCGGATATTTTAAATATGAACTGAATTTCGACACTAAACATGCAATAACTTCTAAAAAGTATGACAGAAAAAAGTCGAGAAATGAAATGTGCGAATTCAACAAATGTTCCTTAGTTTTCAACCTAAATCAGTAATATCATTTATATTGTTACGAAGATAAAATGCATTGTAACCTAGCCACTATAGTGGTTATGACTCTCGGCTTGTAATCGAGGGGGCTCGGGTTCGAGTCCCGAATAATATCTTCGGGAACAGAAGTAAGACTTTCAAAATTGAAGTGATCCATGTGTCTTGAATGGAAAGAAGCTCTCGCCCGTTCTATTCTGGGGTCATCGTTTGAAATAAAAAGTCTGTATTCTTTTGTGTTAGTATTGCATGTTTCTGTTTTTTCCATTTTTCGTAGTTCATATGTATCACAGGATAAAACACGCAATAGCATAAAGTCCGCTACCTAAGTATTTTTAATACAATTGACATATATCGTATACTCGTACATAAATTTACTAAACAAAGTTATACCTCTGTTTAAAGTTATTTTGTGAAAAAATATTATCACATATAATACTTATTAATATCAATTTCATTTTAAGTTGCCATTTTTAAAACATTAGAGATAAATTTGCAAGTTTATATATGTATTCAATTTCTACTATTATATATAGCTCACACTCTCTATATATTTATTTATTTATCTTGGTGGAATTTTCAATTGTTAATAAAATACTTTTTAAAGCGTTCAATTGAGCTGAAATTATATACACGTTTATTTTGGATGATATTACAGTGATTTAATTGTAATTAATAAAAATTAATTTATTACAACTAATCATTCAAAGAATTACCAATACAGCCACGTTGGCATCATTTTTGGTGGCTTAGCGACCCATTTGAAAGCGACAACTTGAAAATGTTTTTTTCTCTCATTTTAAAGCGCTCATTTGAGCTGAAATTTTCTATACACTATTGTTTTGGTTAAAAATACGATATTTTAATAATAATTATTTTAAAATAATTGACTGAAACTAATTATTTAACGAATTACAGATGCAGCCACGATGGTTTCATTTTCAGCGACTTGGGTCAAAACTTGAAAATATTTTTTCTCTCACATTTTAAAGCATTCAGTTGAACTGAAATTTTATATACACGATTGTTTTGGATGACAATACTACACTTTAATGATAATTAATAAAAAATAATTACCACTTAATGTTGTGATTCCATCATATGTATATACATATTTATAATTAATTGTAACTATTTAATAAAAAGTAACTTAAATAAAAATTTTCTTTGTTGGTCTAAGTAGAAATTTACTTATTTCTTTTTATATTACTTGTTATTATATACGTTGAAATAAATTTATTTTACTTGATCATTTCAAAATTTTCGGTATAAATGGGGTTCCAAAGTCTCAGTATGTTTGGGAAACAATGTATTTGACGCAAAATTAATAAATATATATTTTTTCTAATACATATATAAGTTGTACTATCATACATTTTTAAAAATGTACTGTAATATATGTATATGCTGTAATATAGAAAAAGAACTGAATACCATTAATATAATATTATTGCAATACTTACTTTTGAATATTCCATGAGCAATATAGTTATAACAGTTTATACCTATCTTGATTCTCACAGATGGAGTTCGCCTGCCAGACAACCACAGACAAACAGTATATCCCAACGGAACCCTATTTGTTCGTCAAGTAGAAAGGACCATCGACGAAGGACGTTATACGTGCACCATACGAAATAAAGAAGGAGAAAGCGCCAGAGGGAGCCTGTATATCACTGTTAGAGGTAACAAAATACCAGAAATACCTATTCTGCACATTAAATTCCAAACTTTAATAAGAGTGGTTAATTTGCTTCAGATTTATGTGATTGTTTGATTCTAAAAATATTTTGATATAACCCTCAGCCAGGCGCGCTTCAAAAAGTTCCATCCATAGTTTCAGATGCATCACCTAATATTTAAGTTTGAAGATTATGTAATAATTTTATTCGTGAGATTTGACATTAAAATATATTTGACATAAAATAATATTTAAAATAGAATCAGGAAGTGAGATATTTATACGAAAAAACATCAAAAAGAAAATAGTTATTACCGTGTCATCACTGCTTTGATTTTAATATGAGGCCTCCTATATCACCTTACAATGTTCAAAGGCCTGGCAAGAGCTCTTAAACGGTACCTTCTTTTCCAAGTTCCAGGTGATGTTTTTTTGGTTTTTCGTCTTCAATAGATACCATAGAGATAGATATTTCTTCAATACTTAGTCAAAATGAATGAGGCATGTGAATGTTACACTCAGGTCGTCTTCACAGGGGCCCTTTCAAGGTTTAATGACCTAGTTTTCCTAGATCTGAGTTTTTTTATTTCCATATAGATATTTTGGAAGTTTATTTCAGCTGCATTGAGGAGTCAATAAAGTAAGTCAATGGCAAGATATACACGAAATATGAAGGAATCCCCCTTGTCCTTGGCACTGAATCCTGGGATGAGTGACGAATGGCAGATAGAAGAAGGAGGGATGTGTTTCGACCCACTGTGTGGATGCAGTACCGCAACTATTTTTACTGAACATCTGAGAGATTCACGTGCCTAACGGAGGGATAAACTTGGTTTGTTTTAAAAGTAAAAATATTTCAAATACTATACGGTGTGTCCCAAACTCTGAACAGCTTGATTCCTCCTTGGTAGTGCATAGAAAATATTCAAAGAAATATACCTATACGATCCATAGAAATTACAGAGAAATCCTAAATCCGAGAAAAAATCAAAGTATAACGTCACAGCCGTATTAAACACATCAGCAGCACTATTGGCAAATATTTTTAAAAGATTTTTAAATTATCAACCGAGCATATAGAAGCAAGCTTGAGTGCACTGTGGAACAGATAAGTGAACTCGTCGCAACAACGCGGTGCCCACAGAATTACAAGTAGCATGCCGACGAGCAACGAAGTCCGTTTGTGTGGTCACTACGTTTTGATAAAACTAATTCCCTGAGATTGCCGAATGGGGAAAAAATCCAATGTTGTTAGATCTGGTGATAGTGGTGACGAAAAAACTGAACCCCAGGCCTGATCCAAGGGCCGGGTTATGTCAAACGTACAGGAGCTCAGAAATGCGTCGTTGCCCCATCATGAACCTTCTTGCATCATCATTTACCTAATTATTTTCGTTAATTATGGATAGTACAAATACAGTTCTTTGGGAATTTTTTGTGTAATTTTTGTTAAACCCTGTATATAAGTTAAAATATTCAGTTATAAAAAGTCTTAATGTGTGTGAGATTCTGATAATATTTTAATCTTAAGAAAATATTTATCAGGAAAAAAATTTTCTTTTAGTATTATTTCTGTTATTATAAGATAAAATTTTATTAAAAAAATAAAGACATTATTTGGATAATTTTTATCTATTTTAATATACATTCTATTGTGTGTGTGTGTGTGTGTGTGTGTGTGTGTGTGTGTGTGTGTGTGTGTGTGTGTGTGTGTGTGTGTGTGTGTGTGTGTGTGTGTGTGTGTGTGTGTGTGTGTGTGTGTGTGTGTGTGTGTGTGTGTGTGTGTGTGTGTGTGTGTGTGTGTGTGTGTGTGTGTGTGTGTGTGTGTGTGTGTGTGTGTGTGTGTGTGTGTGTGTGTGTGTGATGCGAACTTTTCTTTTATTAAAAAATATTATGTATATTTACATATATTTTTTTAGGTTCACAAACAATTTACTTTTGTATTACAGCATCACATGTATTCTTTTTTTCATTTAATATCACATTATTTTTAATTTTATGAAAAGCGCTTATTAATTTTTTAAGAAATATTATTTTAAATATTTGCTTCGAAAGGATGTAAAAACTGACTAATCAAAAACTTATTTTGGAAAAATTACCTTATAAATTTCCTTACCCTTTTAGATTTATTAGTCATTAATAAAAAATTATTTTTTATCAAAACATAAATTCTTTCTCTTATGATTGATATTTCCACAGACAAATAAATGTTCTGACTTAAAATATTATAGCTTTAAGTATTTTCTTCAAAAACGTACAAAAATTTGTGAAAAAATGCATAAAACGGAGATGAATTTTTTAGTAAAAATCATCAAAACTTTTGAACTTTTTGTACTATTTCAATTAGCTCATAATATGTTTTTCTTTTAATTATTCGTATACACTTTTACGTGAAAGTTTTTTAAAAATTAAAAATAATTAACTAATGTATAAAACTTACAGTACCTGTGTAGTTTATTCTTATTTTAAACACTTGATATTTCAAAATGATTTATTTTTTTCTATTAATTCTACTTTCTCCAGGATTCTATTATCATTTTTTGCGTGAATACTTTTATAAATGGCTTTCGTAAACTTATATGAATTGTTTTTTGCTCATTTTTACACTGCAATTAATTTTATGTATAATGTATAAAATGTGTTGCGGTATGAATGCTTCTAAAAAGAGATATTCGTATTTCAGATAACATTTTTTTTCTGAAGAGAACTATCCCGTTATTTAATAAAATATGAAATAAGATTGGCTTAGACTTAAGAATAACTATTAGGTTATGGAAAGATTTATAGTGATAGCCTGCATGATTAGGCCAAGTCCCAAATAAATGTTCGAATTATTATTTCTATATAGAAATCTAGAACTTATCTTATGTTTCTTTTCTCAAACTGAATATCTTTGAAAACTTATAGGTAAAAATATAAAAGATATTGATTTTTCAAGTTTAAATCTCAAACTCTAAGAAATCTGAAAACTATAAAAGTTATTTAAAGAAAGATTGGACTTTTTTTTATCATCAGACTAAATTCAGAAAAAAAAAGAGAATTCCATTTTTTACTATTCTAGTTATTTTACCACAAGCTCCTTCTTTATTAAAATCAACTTATTTTCCCTTGAATATTTTTGAAAGTATAGCAAAATAGCTTGTTAGCATAAAAATATTATAAAATAACCTTTTGTTTAAAAAATGCATAAAAATGCTGACAGTCACAATCTTGTTTTAGATAGAAGAATAATTTCATATAGTAATTCAATGTTACGTCCAAACTTTTTACAAATATATGTAACTTAAAATATGTTCGATTTAACAAATGTGCAGAAAACAGCAGTAAAAACACAAAAAATATCATAATTTATGCTTTTAATTAATTTTTTAAGACTTGGTGTCTATAAATACTGTTTAAAAGTAATTTCATTCATATTTAATTCACGTACCAGTTATTGACATGAAA